AGTAAACATTATAGGTGATTCTTTGATATTAACACTAGACATTCATTATTATTGGAGATTTCATAATTTATTCCAATTGAATTATCACTAACAAAAAATTATGTTTTTGGACTTGTTAATTTTCTTAAATTTTATGTAATTCCGAACATACATAAAGGCAACAATAAATTTCGATATCAAATAAAAGACGAATAGCGTACAATTACAATTCCAACTGGTACTTATGATCTTAAAGATATTCACATATTTCTAATTACGACAGATCCTCAATTAAATCTTCCATTAGAAGTTAAAAAAAGTACACTTGTCACCGAATTATATAGCGAAAAATGAGCTATTGACTTTACATATGAAGATTCTATCGGTGAATTTTCAGGTTTCGAACGAAAAAATTTATAAAGCAGGAAAAGTATAAAAATCAGAAAAACCAACATCAATATTAAGTGTTAATGCAATATGTGTAGAGTGTAATATTACAAGTGGTTTATCCATAGATAATCAATTTGCATATACAATCCATGCATTTTTTCCATCAGTCCCACCAGGATATGAAATTATTAAATCACCTACAAAAGTCATTTATCTTCTAGTCACGGTGAGAAAAATACATAATCTACAGATACGAGTTGTGGATCAAGACAGAAAATTAATTAATAATCGATCTGAATTAGTCACTGTAAGGTGTAACATTTAAAGAGTATATAATGGTAATAGTTTAAGGTGGTCATTTGGAAGAACAAAGTTATAATAACCATCAACCATGTGCAAATGTACACAGTTTGAAAAAGACAATCAAACGAGCAACAACTCAACAGAAGACGAATAAGAAGAGGAGAACAATGAAACAACTGATTCCTCAGAACACTTCCTAGAAAGTCTTGGTTCAGACTTAATTAAAAAATTGTTTAATTTTTATTCAGTTTGTCGTGCTTGATACCATAAAGGCGACGCCGTTAAAAATTAATGAAAAAATTGTTCAAGATGAATCTATATCTCACTATGAGATTCACGCCCATCAACCATATGGTCACTCATTATATAAAAACAATGATGAGATACGTATAGCTGTACAACATCAAGATTTATGTATTTCACCATGTGGAAGTTCAATTCATATCACTGGTAAATTTACAAATGACAATGGAAGTGCTACATCAAACAGGTCTTTACTTGCAACAATGATTACTTGTTTCTTAGTTGAAGAAATGAGATATGAATTTAATAGAGTTGAAAGTGATCGTAGTAAAAATGTTTTTGACGCCATCATACCATTAAAATTATTATTTGCTGAGGATTATAAACAATTAACTGTTAACATGAGCTAATACTTATAAGAACCACCACTGAATGCAATACATTAAACTGGAATAGCTTATGCGGCAACAACAGCAACAGAAAATGTTAAAATTCTTTTTGATAAAATTGAATGGTTAGTGCAATATGTTACAATGTCTGATTCAAAGAAAGTTGATATGTTAAGTTACTTCAGTAAAGATCCATCGATATCGATAACCTTCAGATCATGGGAGCTATATGAATATCCATCTCTACCTATAACAACGAAACACATCTGGTCTGTAAAGCTAACAAATCAACTAGAGAAGCCAAGATATATTATATTTTCATTGCAAACTAAACGTAAAAATCAATTATCAAAACGCGCTGATATATTTGATCATTGTAAAATGGAAGATTTTGCCGTTTATTTGAATTCACAGCGATATCCGTATGTTGACATGAATGTTAATATTCAACTTTCCAGTGGGAAGTTATAGTAATGGGTCTGAATCCCGAATTTTGACATCTCTCCACGTTCAGGTCCCCAAAGTCGAATACGATCGTTTTCTAATGGACGTCTGAGTGTGTGTATGTTCGTCTGTGTGTGAGTATGTACGTCTGTGTGTGTGTGTGAATATACGTATGTGCGTCCGAGATCATTTTTCGCCTCGATTATGTCGAGAACAAAAAATGATATCGATGTGAGACCAATTGCATTCGACGCGTAATTATGTAACTTAGAACTAACTAGATTTTCATCGAATAAAAAAATTTTAGCAAACAAAATCAGCAATGAAAGAATTTTAGTCAATAATAATTATCAATAATATGGCATTGTGTTCATAACAATTGAACATTGTTACTAACAAGTTATTATTGATCATAGTAATATTTAAATAATAAGTTTTTAATTGTTATACACAATAAAAATAGGGTCCCTTTGTATATATATGTGTGTACTTTTAACGGATAATTTTTTCTTTTACTAAAAAAATGTTACCAACCGTATGACATGAATGAAAACATACTTTTTTCGTGTATAACAATAAAATTTGTTGTAAATAATAAAATAGGATCTATGAGATATATTTAAATTCGTCTAACGCATAAGTTTTTCTTTAACTGAAATCAAGTAACTAACCATATAAAATGAATAAAAACACAATCATTTCCTTTATAAGTAATAATCCGTATGTTATTTTTTTACTGGCAAGGATGTCGTGCCGACCTTCCGGATCGCACCTAGACCCCTGCAGAGCACTAATATTTTGTATAGTAAATCCTACCAAAACCGACATCTTCGGATGTCAGTAAAACTGTGCTCCAAGTACACGTCTGAAGTGACTCTGAAGATAAAGAAATTTCGATCCAATGTACAATCGAATTGATAAATTCAACTTCTATTAAACTTTCGGCCTGAAAAAATTTCTGAAATCACATAAAATGCCAAGTCAGCAATAACTTTATAAGGAATTTTCGATTTCTAAGTCATAGTAAAAAAAAAGATAATCATTTTTTTAAAGATTTTGAATAAATTGAAAAAGAATATTTACTCGAAAATTGATTTGAGAACGATTATTATTATTGCAACAATTTTTGATCAAAGGCAAATATCAATTCGAAGAAAAATTTAATCAGACTTGGCCCAATTTATTGAATTTTTCTCTCAAATTTAGTAAGAATATGTATCCTTGCTATAACAATTGATAATAAAATATTCTGATAAGGAAGAATATAATTAAAATTGGGCCATTACCTTCATGTAATATGGCACTTGATGGTGTGAAAATATCATTACACAGTGATATTTTATAAGACGGAACAGCTTTAAGGAATCCTCTATTGCCTTTTATTATTTGATTTTTGATGCTATTTGAAAATAAATTGAATGCAAGAACTAAAATTGGACTTACCGATGTTATACTCATTTTTCGAATATGATTAGTTTCTTCGGTGCATGTAGTACATATTTTTTGCAATTATGTTTTTGTGACAAAAAGTTTTTTATTGAATCGATTACGGTTACAACGTTCGAAGATGCTGGTAATAATAAGGAGACAGAATCTGCTGTGTGATTAATTACATAATTACACTTTCGACACCGATCTGAATATGATTGTTGATGCGTAAATAACCGATTTATATAATCGTACTTTTCACATAATGTATGAAAAAATAATAATGGGTTCAATACTTCCACGTTATTGCCAAACTCACTATCTATGAATGGTAATATACTTATAGTACTCAAACTATTATAATTATTTTTGTGTAACTGGAGCAATGCCTGCAATGGTGTTTGCGGTAATTCTTGGATTTTTCGAATATAGTCTTTCAGAAAAATACCATTAAAAATGCATTGGATGGTAGCATTTGCATAGCTATGAGTACCTTCATCATTTTCGAAACTACAGATCAGAATGACATTACAGTTCACTTTCTGCATACTGTTTTTATCATTACTTTCATTCAAATCAAATTCTTCTAGAGCCCATCGGAGATCCATTACTTTTGTTCGACGTTTTTCATTAATTAACTTCCCAGTGGGAAGTTATAGTAATGGGTCCGATTTTGCGAATCGCTAATTTTGACATATCTCCACGTTTTAAGGTCCCCAGAGTTGAATACGATAGTTTTTACGTCGACGTCTGTGTGTGTGTGTATGTACGTATGTGCGTATGTGCGTATGTTCGTATGTTCGTACGTGCGTTCGGAATTATTTTTCGCCTCGATTATCTCGAGAACAAAGAATGATATCGACGTGGGACCAACTGCATTCGACGCGTAATTACGTAACTTAGAACTGATTGAATTTTCAGCAAAATCGGTCCAGCCATTTTTTATGCAGAATCAAAAAACTGAAAAATAGTGAACTACCTAAATTCTGCAATTTATAAATTATACCATTTTTTAGAGGGAATTTCGAGATCTTTTCAAAAATATGAATATCAAATGTTCAGAATGATTGTACAGAAATATGATGACAGTATTTCATAAAAAAAAAAATTTTAGCAAACAAAATCAGCAATGAAAAAATTTTAGTCAATAATAATTATCAATAATATGGCATTGTGTTCATAACAATTGAACATTGTTACTAACAAGTGATTATTGATTATAGTAATATTAGAATAATACGTTTTAAATTGTTATAAACAATAAAAATAGGGACCCTTTCTATATATATGAGTACTTTTAACGCATAATTTTTCCGTTTGCTAAAAAAATGTTACCAACCGTATGCCATAAATGAAAACATACTTTTTTCGTGTATAACAATGAAATTCGTTGTAAATAATGAAAAAAAGGATCTATGAGGTACATTCGAATTCTTCTAACGCACAATTTTTTCTTTTACTGAAATAAAGTAACTAACCATATTAAATGAATAAAAACAGCCTCATTTCGTTTATAACGATTCCATTTGTTATAAAAAATGGAAACGGGTTCTATTCAAATTGTTTTTTTATTTTTTCCACTGGGAAGTTGGTCGTGTAGACCATTCGGGTCGCACCCAGACCACTGCAGAGCACTGATATTTTTAATTTGGTTTAAATCAGGACGATATATTTTTCAATTGCGAATATACTCGCTTTTATTTGAGACGGGTCGAAGTTTATTAAATGGACACCTTCTAACGATGTTACTCGAGATAGTCCAACATAAGTTTGTCCGGTACAAAATACTCGATTACCCACATCAATAATGGCATTTTTTAAACTCTATCCCTGACTTTTATGGACTGTAATACCATAACTCAAACATATTGGAAATTGTTTTCGAATTACATAAGCATCATTCATTATTTGAAATTTAGCACTCATTCGTTGTATAGTACATTTGTTTTCATCATTTAACTTAATAGTAATTGAAATATTATCTTCACAGGCATTGATAGATTTTGATACTGACATAATCGTACCAATTGCGCCATGAACAAGACCCAGCGTTACATCAATGTTCCGTCTAATCATGATTTTTGCTCCAATTATAACTACAATATTTTTTGCTAATCCTGCTGTACGTGTGTCATCATTTTCCAATTTTTTCCATAATGTAGATCTTTTTTTGGCAAAATTTTTTGGACAATCTATTGTATCATTGGCTACAAGATATATTTCTGAAGAAGAAATTTTTTTCAACATTGCAGAATTTAGAATATTACATTGATTACATGTAGGTAACAAGCATACAGAGTTATCAGTTTGTTAATGTATGTACATATGTCATTTAATCGATTATCGTAATCAGATGTGGGATTAATAACTACTTTTCGTTGTTCCAACACTTTAACATCGCTACCAGTTGATGCGCCTACTCGGTAACGAGAAAGTAATCTGCTGTATTCAAGGTCATTTTTTTCGACGCATATTAATTGTCAATTCATCATAATGGAATAAATTACGCCATAAATTGAAACTTCCTAATGAACCAATAAATTTTTGTACTTATTCTAATGATAATTTACAAAATATAGGATCTTCTCTTACAGGTGGAAGTTGTAGTAAATCTCCGAACACAAGAATATGTAAACCACCAAACCAACCATTCTTTTTCTCTACAGTATTAAAAATTTCTACTAATCGTAGATGTATCTACAGTAACACAAGATTAGAAATCATTGATATTTTATCAATAATAACTAAAATAACATTCTGAAATTTAGTCCTTAACGCTTGTAAAGCGTTGTCTGATAATGGCCTGTATTGACAAGCGTAACCATGCTCAACTGGCAATGAAAACGCCTTGTAAACGATAACGCCATTAATATTGAATGCTGCGATTCCTGTCTGTGCAGACAAAACAACTTGTTTATTAAAGTTACGCTCTACCAAACATTTTATTGTATGTATCAAAAAACTTTTACCTGTACCACCTGCACCACTGACATAAAGTCGTAAACTGCGTCATCTGACTCAATAGCTTGTTTTACTTTATCTAATATTCGTAATTGATCATTATTCAATTGTTTAACCATATCCTCAAGATTATTCAATGGTTTATTAATACGAGCAATATGATCATGGACGAGCAAATCGCCAACTGATGCAGAGTTTAGTTGTTTGTCACTTTTTAATTGTCCGGTTCCTTGTGACATACAACCGATATTCACCGTTGAAATTGTTTCCGGATTTTTATTTAATTTTTCATCGATTTTCTGTTGTATCAAATCTAAACCTTTCTACAGTTTGATATTTTTTTCATGATATTTAACTGCTTCTGTAAGATATTGGCGATTTTTCTGAAATGATTCAGTATAAGTATTGCAATTATTCTTTAATTCTGCATCGTTTTTCCATGGTTGATACAATAATAACAATGCATAATAGTATCGTTCAGGTTCAGTATGCACATTGTATTTATAGTAATTTACTAAGTGCGGAACCTTTCGTCGTTTCAAGAATAATGAATTTTTCATTTGATATACTTCATTGTTATTTTTAGGTTTTGTTTTGCTAATATGAATACCAAGAAGCAAAATTGAAAAAAGACAAATGTTCTAACTCATCAGGACAATTTGGATAATGATCATCAATAATTGATAGACGAAATATATCTGTTGACTCTTGATTCAATTTTTAAATTTCCGTGTATGTTTTTACCATTCGGCTTCGAATCATGGATACATGTATCCATACAAAAGTTGTGTGAGTATCTGTACCATGCAATGGAATACCTAACAATGTATCTGCTGCTTCGAGAGCACCAACTTTGCGATGAATTAACGAACGAAAAGCTATATTCTATGATCTTTGATACAATGATTTTGTTGAATTAATGTCTTCTAACATTTCAACTGGATGCGCAGATTCGGCTTTTACAGAATACTTTGTACAATATTGCGTTAATAATGTAGAAGATTCTCTTGGGATTGTAATCATTGATATTAACTTCCTCAGTAGTACGAGCAAGATCGTATAGACAACTTTTCGTTTTCAAATTTTTTCGTCCAGCAATAGACGTTGCTATATCACGTAAAATGAAATATTCGGTAAGTGGTCTAGGAAATCCAAATCTACAAATTTTTTAGATATTGAACAGTTGGGAATATAATAGGATTTTCTTCAAAGGAATAGAAAGAATAAAGACATTTTAAAAATTGTAGATATTTATCATCCGCAATTTTATTATTTAGTGAATCATAAATATAAATATTACAAGTATCGTAATAACTACACACCCAATGACCTCCTTCCATTAAATGAGCATTGATATCACTATATTCCTTTTCAATTTTATTAAGTATTTGTATGTGTCGTTTTTTCTGAGGAATTGGTTGAATAAGATCAGGTTTCTGTAATGTCCAGCTCTCTCGATATTCATAACCAAAATTAAGATGTAATAATAAAGCGATATCATCTATATGGTCATCTTCCAACCGAATATTACTAGAAATAATATTGCGCAATCTCATATTTAATTTTGACATAATGTTACATTGATTACAAACTTACAAGAAAAAATTTTTTTTTCCTGTAAAATCTTTAAATATAGTTTTTAAATATTTCCAAATAATAGTAATTGAAAGTCGCAAGTGACCGAGCAGAAAGTCGCAAGTGGCGACTAGAAATTTGCAAGTGACAGACTAAAAAGTCGCAAGTGGCAGACTAGAAAGTCGCAAACGGCAGACTAGAAATTTGCAAGTGACAGACTACAAAGTCGCAAGTGGCAGACTGAAAAATATAAATATAATAATAGAAGTTGCTGTCAAAAATGAGTCACTGTTTATAATCACAACAAAATTTTTAATTTAATATTATTTATAATTCAGTTTTAAAACTCAATTATATAACTAATTTACTAATAAACTAAGTATTTAATAATCCTATAAAACTTAAAAGTTATTGAATGAAATACATTAAATACACTACACACGGTTATTTTGCACTGAATAAACAAGAATTGATCGATCGACGAAAATTGGCATATTCTGCCATCTGTGTAACATAAGAAGTTACTAACATAAAATGAACAAGTGTGACTGTCCATACTTCCAAAATATCGTTTGATAATATTATCGATCTTCATCATAAATTATTATTATGTAGTGTATATATTGTAAAAGAAGACTCAATAACAACTTCGGAAAATAAGTATAGTAATTAAAATGTTTATTAATGATTGACAGCAATTAATTAAAAGTAAGAATCCGTGCGGTCAACTCAAGTCTCAGACAAAAACTGGAGATAAACAAACTCTCCCCTCGTTGCTATAAATCGTCAAGCAATCGATGTTAACTAACAATCTGTCGTTAGTCTAATAGTAATGACTAGTCTAATGAGATGGCGACATACAAATATTTTACACTTCTCCCGATTTTATAAAAATTGCCGACTGGCAATTCCTATTAGTTGGGTAAAAATATTGGATTAGGCTAAAATAAATAAACATGTAAAATCTAAAATTACATTTCTAATTCGAAATTATGAAAATCAAATTAATAATCATTCAAAATTATAAAGATGAATCAAGTTATTATTCAGCCTAGATTCCAATATTGCCGCTTCCCAACTCTGTCTGCTTTAAAAAATAAATAAAACAAATAATTAGGAGGGAAAAATCCTGCGGCGGGTAAAAACCTCCAAACAGACCAAAATGATTTAAATTAAACTAAAAACGTGATTCTATACAATAAAAGATTTCTTAAAAACTAATCGTCCGTTAGTCAAATTAAAAATTAAAATTAAAATTTCCATCTTCAATTCCCTTTCCATCCTTCTTTTTCATCAGGAGGAACCACTAGAAAGAACCAAAAGAACCCAAAGAGTAGGAAATGCCAAGAACTGGAAGGTCATGGAACTGAACAAAATGAAAGTTCCTCACAGAATCAAAGTTCAAAATTTCATTTTTAATCATAAATTCAATGTTCAATTAATAACTAGGTTGAATGGTCACATTTCATGGAGTCAATTCTCCAAATAAATTCCGACTTCGCATCCTTTTTTAAAATAAATCCGACTCTCAAATAAATGATTCAATATCATTAAAACAATCAATTCAATTCCACCTTGCGCAAGGAATTTTCAAAAATAAGTTCAATAGCTTCTGCTCACTGTGCAAACTAAATTATTAAAAATTGGGCTCACAGTTAAGCATACTATCCGAACAAAAATATTAGGATACCATGGACATCTAGTACCTCACTTTGTTTCACTTCGGCCAATAAATGAAGAAAAGGATTCCAGTACAATGACTCCAACTGTGTATATCCTACAGTAACTCCACGAGAACGCTCCAGAACAGACATTGTAAATTTAAATCAACAATCAAATGATCAATGAAAGCCAACATTCTCAGACTGGCAGTTACAAAAACCCTGAATTCAACAGAAATAAGGAATCCAGTAAGAGTCAAAATAACTAATTATCTTCATAAGGAGCGAGTCTATTCACATGAACAACTTTCAAACGACCATTCGGAATTTTATGAATTCGAAATACAACATCATTAAGTTTGTTTTTGATAATATATGGACCTCCTACTCACATTGAAGTTTTGGACACTTTCCTTTAACTCTTTTAGTGAAAAATAACCAAACCTTTTGACCGACATCAAAAAAAAGAATATTAGATTTCAAATCATACATATACTTAAGTTTTTCAGATTTAATTTGCAACTTATCCCGTACATTATCATGAACAATCTTTAATTGTTCACGAAGATTAAAAACAAAATCAGTTATAGAATTATCCTCAAAAGAATTATCTGAAGGATTAATTCCTCTAAGAAGATCAATAGGCAACCTTAATTCACGACCTAACATCAATAAAGCTGGAGAATACTAAGTAGTTTCATGTTTTGAAGAACGATAAGCCAACAAAAATAAAGAAATCCACTTATCCCAATCTTTTTGATTTTTACTAATAAATTTGGACAAATATTGAAGAATAGTCCTATGCAACCTTTCAACTAAACCATTTGATTGGGGATGAAGAGGTGTGGTTCTTGTCTTCTTAATACCAAAAAGACTCATGACCTCCTTGAAGATTTCAGATTCAAATTCTCGACCCTGATCAGAATGAATTTCAATAGGAACACCATATCTACAAAATATTTGAGTTACTAAAGCCTCAGCAATAGTAGAAGCCTGATGATTAGGCAGAGGAATCGCCTCAGGCCATCTAGTAAAATAATCTGTAACAAC